GTGGTCCCATTACCTGAAAAAGTACTCAAAAAAGTGGTCAAACATTTTTCCAAAAGGTGGAATTTCTTTCTCAAACCTTTTGCTTACAATTATTTCCATCTGCCACCAGAATAACAAAAAGGCCAAAGACCCATTCCCTCTGCTCCCACCTTCTCACTCCTGGCAAGCCATCTGCTGCCCAGGGCCCGCAGTCAAGACTCATTACTTGGTTATGTATGTACATGTACTTGCCAACAAACACTTCCCTTCATCTCGCTGCTCACAGAGGAGAAGAGTTTTTCCTCTTTTCCTCACAGCTATTTTGCCTTCGGTTTCCTTTTTTGATACCCAGAGGAAGCAATTTCTGGTCCTTAATATGGCCCTTGTGCAGGACCTGGCAACGTAAGCTATTAGAGATGAAAGCTGGGAAGAAGACAGGTGAGTGAAAGGACAGCTTTATCTCTGCTAGGCTGTCTGCCATGCTCAGATTTGGCAGGAATTCAAGTAGAGCTGTTGATTTCGGGTGGTTATCTTTGCTAACAACACTCCTAAGGAGTCAGGAGTGCAGGTCTGCTGGAGAAAATGAAGGACTGAGAGCCAGGCTGCCTGTCTGCTGCTGGCTGATTGCAAACACTGACCTGAGAAAAAGGTCTACCTGCTTCGAAGGGCATCCTTCGAGTTTCTATGGAGCAGTTAAATCTTTAGATGAATGTTGCTATTTAGCATTAAGAGTTACCTAGACCATTGATCAGAGGAGAACACAACAAAAGAACAGGTCAGTCCAGAGCTCTCTGCCAGCTGATTTTTCTCAACTTTTGCATACAATTATGACTGACAGAGACAATCAATTCTGACTGACAGAGACAATCAGCATAAATTACACAAACTTTGGCACTTGTTGCTGGAAGTCCCAGTCCCAGTCAGATCATCCCATTTACTCCCCAGAGTCTGCAGTTTCCACAGATGCTATTTGTATTTTAATACAAATTTTATTTAAGTTCCAGACCAAAAACTTTGTTGACTGTCTCATTTGTCTGAGTCTTCACAATGCAGGCTTTTGTGGAAGGTATTTGTATAAAATCTTCATCCTAAAATGGGCTCATCTTCATAGTACCAACTACCAAAATACAAGTAGTTTCACTGGGTTTCTTTTGTTATATATAGCTCATAACTGAGTATCAGCAGTATCTGCATTCCTAGCTCCATCAATACGCCACTCTATTTTCTCGCTATTTTGAAGCACTCCACAAGCTTCTGTTAATAATTTTGCTTGACCTTTATTAAAGGCAGAATATTACCTGGCAATTAGATCTGGTGATCCCTTTGGTGACTGAGATTCAGTCATTTATTGTAAATTATAAACAGTTCAAATGTTTCATTATGTTTATTCTTTCTACAAGCTTTGTGGCCAGGTAAGCACTGACATGACATTCACTGTTAAATGATCTCATTAAACTTCCTAATTTAAGTGGTACAATACTTCACCTGACACATTATCCAAGGACTCCTGCAAAGCACGTTAAACATTCAGCATCAATAGATGCTCTACCAGAGTTCACCTTGTTGGGAGTGAAATTTCAGTCCCTGAACATAAGGTTGACTACCTGATGTTGTTTGTCAAAGACAATAAATAATGCAAATAGATACGCATATAAAATAAGAGGTTAAAGACATTGATAGCTTCCCCACAGAGCTTTGAAAGAGACTCTCAAAAGAAAAAAAAGCCTTTCCTCGAAAGAAAACTCATGAAAAAATACCCTTAAAATAAAAACAATAAGAAAAAGGAAGGGGCTGGTTTTGTTTATTTCTTTATGAATGTAATGGCTGTGGGAGATGATATCTTGAGAAAGCATGTGCCTCCCACAACCCCCAAAACCCAACAAAAGAACCCCAAACCACACAACCACCACCACCCAGAGTTACAGCAAAAGAAGGAAGTCACACAGCCTCCCACCCCAAAACATCACTTGTAGAGGTCTGTCCCCAGCCATTTTATCCCTCATTTTCCTATTGAGAATGCTCAGCAGGGCTGAGCAGAGTCCAGGTTGGATGATGCATTTCACTTAGGCCAATAAATAACATATTACCTCATGACTAGAGGGAAACACAGTATTTTTGTTAGAGATGCCTTTATGCTCAGACTGTGTTTGTGAATGATTTCTACCACAGTAACAACTAGGAGCACATGGATTAGGACTTCATTTGTGCTGGATCTGCAGACTCAACCAGGGCTTCAAAAATTAAAGATTAAGGCATGAAATACAGTAACAGGGATATCCAGATTTTCTTAGCTTGCATATGCTTTATTTTAATTGCTTCTCTCCCAAAATGAATGGTTCTGAACTTTTTTTCCCTCCCCCTGCCTTTATATAGTATGATCCTTGACATCTGCTTCTAGACATCTCTTCTGAAGGATGAAGGGTTCCCAGTAATTGTAATGTAGCCTGTGAACATACCAGACTGCTCCCCAGACAGATTTAGACTTCATCATACAGAATTAACCCCACATATAGAATGTGTTCTCCTGACTTATAAGGCTGGATTAGCTTTTATTATCAGAAGAGAGGTAGTAAAGGTTTCAGTGTTACAGATGGAATGGCAGATGGGAAGCGAAAGCTTAATGTGAAGCAGCTCTGGATAAAAACTATTAATCCACAAATTTCATATGTTCCTATGCAGGGACACCTAGCTAAAAACACTGCAATATGACTAACCAGTGTGAGATGTGTAAACTGCCTCTAGTCCATTATCTGATAAATGATGTCTGAAGGAAGGAAAAAGCCCTCAAACACTCTCTTTACTATTTCCTGGAAAAACAATCAGCTCTCTGTGCAGTAGGCAGAGAAGTAACGCCTTCCCAAAGATTACGAAGAATATTAATTTATAGCAACTCCACTATGAAAATGAAACGGTCTCATATATATTTTTGATGAGATAACATTTTCCAGGGTTTATAGCTGTAATATTACATATTCAAAAAATTTAGCAGCAGCTGTAAGTCACTGTCATTTAAGTTATAGCACTAAAAAAAGCTTTTTACTTTTTGTTGAAGTGCACCGTGTTGAGAGGAAACCTATTTCCCCCAGTTCTGGTATCAGAGTACTTTGACAGCAAGGGAAACGAGCACTTCACATGCCTTCACCCAGCTGCTGAGAGCCACCACACAGCTCTGAAAGCAGCCGCAACGCCAAAGCACGACCTTCAAGAATTTCCACCATGAAAAAACAAACGCCTGGAATTTTTCCAGCTGAATGGCACTTGTTTAGAGTTTGAATGACTGCAAGATACCACAGCATTATTACAAAGAATCCATTAAGGCAGAACTGACTACGGCATACTCAACAAATCCTGTGGTTGTTTCGGGCCCTATCTGTAAGTGACTGATCCCATTTGGCTCTGCGGTTTAATTTGTTCCGTGGGAACGAAGAGCAGTTGAGAACGCCTCAGGTCATGGCCACAACACTACAAGACGGCGTTTAGGGTGATCACAACACCACAACAGAGTAACTGGATACATCTACTGGGTCTAGTCTGTAATTACACTACACCTTCAATTGTTTATTCTTCAACAATTTATCTTACTTGATTCAAAGTCCCATCACCTTCTCCTCTGTGGTTTTACATTACTCTACTTTTTATCATCAGTGTAGCATTCCTCACCAGGAAAGTGAATTACAGGGAATAACAAGCTACCTTTTCCTCAAACTCAAGCAATATTCAGAGAATTACATACTGGCTCTTACAACCACAGATAACATGTCAAAATTGTTATGGCTCTTTCTGTAGGACACCAAATCAGATGCAACACGAGATATTGGGAGTTCTTAATTCAAACCCCTTTGTTCCAAGTATCAGTGCACTCTGTGACTCTTGTGTTCTTCCCTAGTTTTCCTCCCTGAAATGTGATGCATTTCTCTTCACTGACAGGGCACAGAAATGGGAACCAGAGATAAAGCCTTTTGTCAGTTCTCACAAAATCCTTCCTAAGGCAAAAGCTCATGTTGTTTTCCATTCTCACTTCAGTGGGGATTTCTGTCTGAGTAGCAGATTCAAGAAGGGACTCATAATTTAAGAGAGATCTTGCAGGAACCTAGTAAGGTGTTTCCATTGTCTTTTGCTAACGTATTTCTGTTAGTATTAAAAGTGTGTAATGCCATCGCTTATTAGAAAATTACCCATGAAAGTTACTTCCCCTTTCCTTGATTCCTTTCAGCATATAGGGAAACAGAAGTCACAAGGTTAATTTCCTCTTTCCCTCTTCTTGTTAATCCTTATAGCCTAAAAACAACAGCTGAAGAACACTTTTTTTTTTTTTCATTTTTCCCCTCCTTTTTCCTCTTTTTATGGACTATCTACTTTTGCACAATGTAGTAAACCTTACTGAATGCAGCTGTGGGGCCTGGGTTATGCAAATGCAGAAAGATTATGATTTCACTTAAAATCACAAGCCTTGTCATGTGGTGATGTGTGAAGTTCTTTGCCTGATGCCGTCTGAATAAAGACATTCAGGCAACGGTTGATGCTGAAGATATAATTGACTCCTAGCAACTTATTTGTCACTTCTACAATCATTATCCTCTGCAGAGAAAGTACTAAAAAAAGGAAGCGCAGAACATTACCTTCACTGAATCTACATTCACACCTTCCAACACTTTCTGAGACATCAAATCAAACTGTTGATCAGATCCCTGGCAGGGAGCAATCTCTCCGTGCCTGGGGTTTGTTTGCTTAGCTCGAATACTTCCCGTTACTTTACTCACTCCCTCTCTTGCAGATGCCCTTTGCTAGAAATAATGACTAAATAGAGCAGCAACTGCTTCCTCACTACAAGTGAAGAATTGGTGCTGCTAACCTGCTTGCAGCCACAGTCCTTCCTGGGCAAGCAACAGACATGTAGGGGGTACAACAAGGCAACTGTCTCCATGGCAAAAGCACAGATGTCAGACAGCAGCCTGATATTCCTTACATCAGCACTTACTCCCCTTAGGAATAAAATACGTATGTTCTTAAGAGACTTGTACCTGATTGGGTAGTCGGCAGCGCTGAGGTTAATGAAGAAATCCCATGGCCAGTCATTCATCTCCATTAAGTCCCTCATGCTCTGCAGGTAGGTGGACAGAAGGCTTGCTCCTCCCCAGATAGTTGCCATTCTCCAAGAAGTGACTCTCACATTTGGGTACTGGTTAGCAAACTGGAGCACTTGCCGGTGTAAGTAATTGGATCGCTTTACAGGAGAAAAAAGTAATAGGTTCAAGTTACTCTGTCCCAAAGTGTCCCTCCCTGTATTCACTAACCAGCAGCTGCACTTATCAACTATCTGAGCGTTGCCTTTGCTTTGCCCTCACTTGCTACAGCGCACAGCGTTCTGCTAAACGTTAATTTGGAAATGTGCAGAGCTCTCTTTTAGTTCTTTTTATTACAACTACAGTAATTGCTAATCAGTGCAATTAGCAATTATTTATCATTTCTCATCAGTAGATCCCAAAGGGCTTTCCTGAAGGAGGTTACTGTTACTACCTCCATTCTGCAGTGGGAAGTAACTCTCCTGAGGCACCTCAGGCCAGCTCTCCATCCAAGAGGGCACTGCTGTTAGTCTGCACCAACTTATCACTTACTGTTACTAAATGTACAACACACAGGCATGAATAGATATTCATAAACATACAAAGAGAAATGAAGACTGTTACATAGACAAGATAACAAGAAAGAGAAAAAAAAAGTGACTCCAAACATGTAACAGATGGAGAGACGAGAAGTGACATGCACTCTACGCAGCAGAGGTAAAGAGAAGATGAAGATGACAAAGATGGGCAGACTGACAGATGGCAAGACAGGCAATTTATAACCAGTGATATATTACCTTGTCAACATGAATGTAATAAAAATGGTCTTTATGGTAAATAGCCTTAAACATGCGTTGGAGCTGCCGAGAAGCTCTGCCATGAACAACCAAGACAAATGCGATCCTGACTGGGTTGGCTGGCATGTACTCTACGGAGTCCTCATCCCATTGCACATTGTTGTTGGCTTTTCCTGTTCAAAAACAAAACACAGGACATCTCTGAGCGTATCTGCAGGGCAGGGGAGCAGAGAGCAGTACACGTTTCACCTTGGCTCTTTTTTTAGAAGCGGTTTCTGACGGGAAGTCACCTCAACGTATTTGAAAAATGCCAAAGCCAACTCCTCCAGCAAGAAACCCCTCACATCACCAAACAATCCTCAGTCCTCTGATCAGCACAGCTCCACTGAAAAGCTCGTGAAACTGCTACTTAACAGCAGCTGAGGATTATCTCAACTGATAGCATCTATTTGGAACAGCAGATGTAGCCTGGACCATTTAAATAGCAACCTACACATTTTTACTTCTTTGTGTGTGAGAGCAGGCCAAACAATCCTATTTCAAATTTATTTTCATTTTTATATTAACACAGGAATTTATAGTCTTGGTTTTCTAAAGAAAACACCGCACTGTAAGGTTATGACAGGATGTACTGATGAGCTGAAGGGACATTTTTAGTCAAGAATTTAGAGTACTTTGTCTTTTGTAACATCTCTTCAACTCACAAACCTGAACATGATGAAAAAAAAAAAAGACAATTTTATACAAAACCTCACATTTTTTTTTCAGTTAAACAACTCCTTCAGTCCTCTGACCTTGTAGGAGTCTTTCTCAACAGAAGTTATTTAAGAGAAACCTGAAATTTTGAACATTAGCACAAGGAAAGAAAACACCCTGAAGATTAAAAAAAAATCACAAATCACCCCTGCCTCATTTTCCCCGTTGCATATGTAAAGATTTTTTTTAGGCAATATCACTGTCTCAAACATAACAATGCCCCTCAAAAACAAAGGGGAGGGAGAGTCTCCAAGTCCCATGATCTTTGATTTTGGTTTATTTCCTCAGAAGGGTGAATTCATTTGACCATCCTGAAAAGCCCGAACTTCTTATTATGCTGCAAATACATATTTAATTATTAGAAATGCATGTACACAGGGGCAGGACTCAAACATTCATTTCACATTACAGGTGAAGGTTTAGAAATAGCCATGCCTGAGCTGAAGCAGCTAAAAGCAGCAGCTGAGATCACGTGCAAGGACACCAACACATCTCCCTTTATTCATCGACCATGTTTTGACCAAATAGGATATTTCAGACTCAATGCACATCTATGTGCTCAGTAAACAACCAGCTCAACAAAACCACCCCCTGCCCACACTGACCTCCCCCAGCAGCAACCACGGGTGGGACAGGGCCTCAACCTGCTTTGCTTGAAAGTGGTTTCAAACCCTCCTGGAAACACAGCAGAATTAGGTTTTATGCTGCCTTATAGGCACTGTAGTAATCAAGTTTTTGTTTGCCTCTGACATAAGGAAGTTTTTTCCTCACCAAAGCTGTTTTTTCCTACCTTCCCAACAAGAGCCTAGTTGGGGCCTGGAGCAACTTCCCCATGAGGAAAGGCTGAGACACCTGGGTCTGCTCAGCCTTGAGAAAAGATGACTGGGAGGGGATCTTACGAAGCTCTATCATACTCTTTTCAACCTGATGTGCTTCCTCTGTTTCTTCCTAGAGGCAGGGAGGAGCGTATCTGGCTAAGTCGTGCCCAGCTTCTGCCTTTGGGGCTGCTCCTCTCTCCCCTCCCAGCTCCACGTCCCCTCGGTTTGCGCCAGGCCGCAGGCGGGCCTGAGGCGGCTGGGCCTGGCTATCAGCCAGAGCCAGCACAGACATGAAGCCCGCTGTGCCTCCCAAACCATCTCCTGAAGTAATTAAAAAAAACACGCTCAATGACACTTGAGTTAATACATAGAACGAAAAAACAGACATTTGCCAAGCGTGAAGAGAGAGTAAGTGTGAGGGAAAGCCTTCTTCTCACTTCTTTGAAACTGGAAACATGTCGATAAAAGTAAACCAAACAAGACCAAAAGCTCTTTTATATATGTATTAATTACAAAAGAAAAACTGGACACAGAAAAAATGACATTGCTTAATCCTTCTTGTTGCATCTCCTCCTTAGTAAAAAGAGAGGAGTAGGATGAGCTCAGAACAACAGAGCGGCTGAAGGCTTGCAGAACACTGGCTCTGGCTACCTGAACAATTTGATCCATTTGATTGCACTGAAATTTGTACTTCAGTAACCGAAAGACTCCTTGAGACAGGCACAAGTGAGAGGTCCTGCTGCAATAGCAGCAGCAGGTCATGGGGAGGGATGGCTTCAGTGCCTCCCGTGACCCTCCCTCCAGGTTCTCCTCCTCAGCAGTGCTTCTGTGTTCCACCTCCCTTAAGAAAGGACCCGTTCGTCCTGGCCTGGAGCTCTAGGAAAGCTGCCCGTGTAAGAGGTGCACCCAGCCTCTGGAATAAGGCTCTTTGCTGGACTACCTACAGGGCTAGGAAGCAGCCATGTGCCTGTCTGCTCCAGGTAAAAGACCTTTACCTCCCGCAGCCCCTCAAGGAACGTCTATCTGCAGTAGCATTGCTCATAAATTAATTCAACTTCCATGCCCCAAAATGTATTCAGGCTACCTATCAGGAAAGTTCTAGCCCCATGAGTCACACTTAATTTTAAAAAGGACACTGACAACTTAAATGATATTTCTTTAAAAATCATCCACCACTAACTCAATAAGACTCGGCCTAAAAGATTAGAACAGGACTTAAATTTCATTTCTTCTATCATTTCCAGTTAGCCTACTATGGCATTTATGTATACTCACTTCTTCTGTTCCTCCCACATTGCTGCTGAGCTTCCCCATGGGTGCGCTTAGGGCTTTTGCACAGCAGCAGGGACAGAAAGTGATTGTGAAAGAAAGAAAACATGCTCGCAAGGAGAACCGGCAGGAGAATGAAGGGCAATTGCAGTAGCTAAACTAACCCATTTTTCATTTAAACTGCTCTGATTTCAGGCTGACAATGTCCCATCAACGGACGTAAAGATTTTTAGTGGTTTTCATTACATTTTTGGATACCTCTTTTCTGAAATTAGTGGCTTTCTGCAATGACAATGTAAAAGGTGATGGGAATTTAAAATAGCCATATTGTGGGTCTTTTATTTTAATCTCACTTGCTTTCAATACCCACACCATCATTTATCTAGCAATTACTGAAAACAAAATCCTACCAAATTTTCATCTGAAATGCCACCTCACTTCATCAGGTTTCTCTAATAAATTCTTGAAGCGACATACTTTCCTCCCTGCTATTTTCCTACTCTAACCTCTTTTTCCAAGTGTTCCTTCCTTCTTTTTGAGGTTCAGGTCTTTACAGTCCCATTTTCCACCTGCATGCTATTACGGCTTCTGTAATCTAATCCTTTCCCTGGCTGCCTGGAATTTCACAAAGGTAAGAATGTTGTATTTTTTCCATATGTCCGAGTATCCGTCACTTCTGCTTTATATTGGCATTTCCCTGGTTTTCGTCTGTGGCTGATTAGCACCCTCTATTTTGCAGACTGCTCCACTGATAGAGAACCAGTCTGGTTTGCAAATAAGAAGCAATTGGCAGGAAACATTGAGCATCTTTTTGCTAAATAAATACAGTAGGAGTTCAGAGCTGTAGAAACCATGTCAAGAATAGAAGGGCTCTAACCATGACACTGCTATAAGGCTTCTCATGTGTGTACACACCATAGCCTTTCACGTCATGGTAATGCCTCCTGATTAATGATCTGCCTCTCACTTAGGAGCATGTTCCTTTCTGGGTATTGGGACAGAAGACACAAAAGATGCCTCAGATACTTCTCACTTAGCATCCTAATGTGCCACAGTGACAACAATCTAGATGGATTTTAAGGCAGAACTTGCATTTGATCGCTACTTCAGTGCTATCACTGCACTGCCATTTGTCACGTGCCCTAAATCTCACACAGAGTGTGAGTGGCCTCCACTCTTGGTCACTCGAGTCCAACAAAAAGCAGTTTTGAAGGCCAGCTTTCTCTCCCTGGTTCCAGGAAACCCTTTACAGTATTTTCACTTCTTTGTTTACTTGTCTCCTTCTCAACCACCAGGTGCATGGGATTTGGGCACTCACTAACACTTCTCACCTCTGCTTGTGCCAGCATCTGTCTTTCTGAGAAAAATGCATCAAGATAGCAGAGGAGAATTCCCACCTTCTTTTCCTACTCCGGGATCATTTATGGCAGTCTCTGAGTGCATAATATTCCAGGTTTATCCTCCACTCCCATTGAGTGTGCAATGCCTGTTAGGTGGACTTTCCTACAGGCTCAGGGAATTACCCTTTTTCTAGGGTAACTTCTGCAGATTTGTGTTTTATAAAATCTAATGAAATGCTGACAATGTTAATACAAGGTAAAACAAACAACAACAACAAAAAAAGTGGAAGAATGTTTTGTTACAGTTATCATTTGGCTATGCCTTGGAAATCATTTTGCATGCATGAACGAGCAGGGACAGTGAAAGAAGTGTCCTCGCTGCCACCTGGCCCAGGCAGCACAGCAGCAGGGCTCATCTGAAACCTCCAAGCTTGCAGTTCCACTATGCAATGGAAACCGTGGGCAAGGAGAGATGTCTCATGCTGCCTGCTTCAGACAAACCACCAGCTCAGCAAAAGCAGTGCTGCTCACACAGGCTGTAACAAACATTTCTTAGCCCCTGTACGCAAGCATATTGATGCATTTTGCCATCACACACTGAAAACAAAAAGTGCCCTTCTGCTTCATGACCAAATGCCTTTTATAAACTTACTTGGAAAAATCAGTTGCCTTCCTGGCTTCCTGCTCAAAACACAACACAATTTCCAAGGTTTCCTAGCAGGAAAACACACACCTCTTTCTGCAGGTAACAGGAGAATCTCTGCTCCAGTGCAGTTCTGGTTTGCACTTCCTACACCCCAGAGAAATCAATACTCATAATTAAGAGTTTAATCTTCAGCTACTGCAGTATTACTAAATGCCAGAATAATAAACATTGTGTGCTTTCTTATTTGTTGTGGTGCCACATAATGCTCAATCATCCACCAACATAACTCCGAACCAACTTGCTAATCTTTTACTTCTAGTGCTAATTAATGAGATCATCAGACT